TACAAAACATGTAATTCGTTATCATCATTGTTACCATTGTTAAAACTGTTATCTTGAGTATATTTGTATAAGAGATTAACAAGGATTATTCATCAGTAGTCATAGTATAAACTAACAACTAAACAATCAAGAGAAAATGACAGGAAATTAGTTTTTTGTTTTGTTTTGTCATACACTTTTGTAAGCAAAATCAGTTGTCTACATCTTGAAGAGAAGAAATCAATTCAACTGAATCATTCAAGTCTTTTCTTTATAGTTAGTGAATAACATGAGATGATTGAAATCTTAAAAACAAAAGATTAAAGGGAAGTAAAAAAACAAACTCTATGAGTGTGTTTATGTGATTTATGTGACTGTGAATTATCATATTCCCACATTTTCCATTTTTAATCTGTCAAGTATTGAAAATAGAATATGTTTTATGTATTAGTCTATTGGAGATTACTTAAGTAATTTGTAAATGAAATATGATATACATTTATCATAAACTTATTTAACACTGAGAGACTGAATGTAAGCTGAATAGGTTACATGTGACCTGCAAACTAACTTTTTATAATTATAATCTCCACCTGAATGCTTCGTTCAAATTTAGATGAGAATTCGGTGAGACTATAATTTATGGACGACTTTTGAGCGACACTGGAGTAACTTCGGAAGTGTCCACATTATAACTAGAACCAAGTGAGGGTTATAAACCTGTGTGAGGAGTTCGAATTATGATTCACAGTTCATGGTTAAAGTTAGGAATTATACTTAGGGTTTTCATCACGGATTGACATCAGCTATAATGCCAAAACTCTATTTATCCAAATGGATGAGTTGATTTCGCGCCAAAATCTGAGACCTATTATCCTATACCTGATTGGTTCGTCCATCAATTTTAGTCTCGCCGAGAATTCTTATAAATTCAACTTAAATATTTTAAATTATCAGTTGTTTTGCAACTCATTGCTGTGTATTGTTGTTTTAGAACGTTTTCACGGATGTTGATAGTTTGTCTTGATTGGAAAATAGAATATAATAAATTTAATACTAAATTCATTGAATGATTTGGTGTTTAAGGTTCGTGGAAAGTAGTAAATGCAAATAAATTTTTAGATTAACTAACTGCATTAAAATTTATTCTTACTACGAATGATAATGTTTATCATTTAAAGTTGAATTGATGTATTATCAACACTTAAAATAATTTGGATAAATCTTCAAACTTATAAGATTCATGAAATACGATTAGCAATGAGTAGTAAAAAAGCATGACATCGATGACTATTCAGTCTTACAGGAGTTTAGCTGCGTCCTAAATAGCTTAGAGGTAACATCTGTGACTGTGGTATTGAGCGAACCTGATTGAAACGTAAAGAGGTGTACTAGTCTTCTTGAAATAACAGAAAAGCCAGGGAAAAATGAGCTCTAAACAGCATGAAGCTCATATCTAGGGTCTTTTTTATCCTGAAAGTAATCACCTTATTTGATAATTGATACCTGACTGTAGTAAATAATTAGATATGAATCTAACTTGCAAACATACAAAGTATATGAGGGACAGAATCATTTTCAAAAGATTCGTTGCCAATCTTTTTTTTGATCCCCTTTTTCTCTGTAACATCTGTCATCTTGTAAAATATTTATTACGTTAACCTCATCGTTATCTCTTTTAGTTTCTCAAAACAACATACCTTGTAAAAAAATATATCGACCATTTTAGTGGTTCCGCTTGGATTTATCAATAATTATCTTAATATCTCACAAGTTTTATAAAGGCACTAGAGTAGATTAGACCATTAGCAAGAAAATATAAAATACAAAACGTTATGGTAATATTTGCAGAGTTGAAGAGTGGGTATAATAGACGTCTGAATGAGCAGACTATTCTTCACCCAAAGTCATCTAACATATTTACTGAAAATATTATTACGGTTGTATATGTATTAAACACTAAACAGTTCTGAGTGGAAAGACTAATTTTAAGGTTTTCTTTTATGTATGCTTAAGAAATATTGTATATACTCATCGTAAAACTACCTGACTAAATAATACTTATTTGCTTACTTGTGACTAGCTGTGAGATGAAAAAACCATGATTTGTCGTAGGAAATCAAACAGAAATGAAGTTAGCTATCCTTTGATGATAAATGATGAGAACTACATAGTATCATGAATTACCTGAAGTTAAAAAGCATTAACCATTGACCGACCGTCCCTTGATGGTATCTTGATCACCCCGAGACTTATGTTTTTCCTATAAAATTGCATATGGATTATCGACTCAACAGTTTTCCTGTAGGAAAGATATTAACTAATATAAGAATATCTGCAAATATGTTTCAGTCAAAAGTCATAATAAATAGGTACGCTTGTAATACCTGTACATGAGGTAAAATATATCGATTTCTACTTTATAAGAGCTCACACGTTAAAAATTCAATTTTCACTGCAGTTAAATAGTAATTAGAAATAATGAATATTAGGAGATACCAGGTAGTTATTTGAAAAAAAGAAACTAGACTATACAATTGAATTCATAATCCTGAGGCTAAATAATACGTATAATGAAGTCGAAAATTGGTTCCACTAAAGCGAGCATTTAACAATAATGACTGGAATGGCAATAGCAATTAAGTTAATCAACATGTATGTATATATTAATAAAATAACTCCAATTATCAGACTACGAAAAGGAATAAGTAGTATATTTTCATAGGGTTACTGAATACCACATGTTACAGGCAAATACTAGGGTCCATTTTTATTTCAGAAGAAGTTATACAATGGCGAATTTTATTTATTCCTCATAGAGACACAATTTATATAACACAAAACATTCTTGGATTTAAAGATTTTTCATGACTTTCAGATCTCCATTGCTTAAGTTTTACCGTACTCAATCAAATGAAAGCTTCGTCATTGGACTTGATGGTAACCTCGTTAGCATCAAAGTTTCTAAAATAACCGAAGCATGGTTACTTTGCATAAATTTTAATTAAGTTATTTCTATTGAACATAAGAGTTAATGGCTGATCAACAACTAAAGAAAGTAGACAGAAGGCATATTGTTTAGATATTGGTATATTGACTTTTCCCAATTTGGTTCTGTACTTACACAAAGCCTCATAGTTCAATGATAAAACATTTGTTATTGAATATCTTAAGTTATAAAGTATTTCATAAATTTCGTTTCAGTATTTCTGTTTTCAGTATTAATATCAGTTAAATATAATGTTATATACAGTACTAAACGCTATAGACTTGAAAGATAAATCATTGGTATAGAAAAAACACTAACGTAACTGTTTTATTTGTTTTAAAAATTATACATAATATCAGTATTTCATGTTCTAACCTAGTCTTTTTAGTTTGTAACATACTATTTATAATATCAGCATCCACAATACTTATCCCATAACCAGTCAGATACTATCAAAGTAACTGCGTAAGATGATTTCTGTTACAATATATGTGACGTACTTTATAAAAAAATAAATGTCTAATTCATTCTAAATAATTTTTAAATATTCTTCTGGTTATTATGAATCAATATATTAAAATAAAACAAGAAGAGATTTAATAGAAACAAAAGGTAAGACGCTGCAGTGGATTAGCTTCGTGATAATCATTTAGGCTTCATATTTCAATCGTCCTGGAAACCCTTATTAAATAAATCCCAACTATGTACGAATTCAGGGGGTAGCACGAGGCGCCAACTACAGTTTATTACGGAATAGTGCAGACCAGTAAGCCACAAATGCACCAAGCGAATTCGAGCGGAAAAGCTAATGCGCGTGAGCGAGCGAATACAGAGGTAAACTAAGAGTCGAATCAATTAAGAAGATTCAAACATATACATATGTATGGGAAGTAATACGAACTGGAGATTGTCGTCGGAGAAAATGGAAAACAAAGCTAGATGAAGAATGCAAATGAGTCAATACATTTCGATAAAGCGCGATTCAATATTTATAATCAGACATAAATAGGCTACAAACACGTAATGGATAGGGTAAGCAATACGCACACATACTTTCATGTAAAGAAAGTCAAGATTAATAAGCCAATAATTGACAAGATCAGAATGTGCCTTAAGAAGAATGAAAAAATTGGTCTGTCTGAAAGCTAGAATAACCTATGTGTGCTTGGCATAGTACTTGAAACTATAACATCTCTTTATAAACAGACGAAAAAACTTTGGAGAAACCGTATTTAAGAAAATGCAGAATATTTACTTAATTTTCAAAACCTTCCAATAAATAAAAATTGAAAGATTCATATCTCAGACATATTGATATTAATTATCATCCTTAGGGAATAGTATAGTATTTTCCCGGATATTGGATTTCAAGTCATTATTTGGCTTATATACATTTAAACACTCTTACTTATCAACTTTATAATTAAATTATGTAAACAGTTTGCAAACAATCACATTCAAATATCAAATTTTTAATGCAAACTGTAATTTTATTCAAAAAATAATTTTCATAGTTGCAAGCGTGAGTCAATTGAAGCTAGACCACCAAGGAAAACCTGGAAGCACTGGACGGCCGTTACGTCCTATGGTAGGACTCCTTAGCAGTGCTCATCCGTAACCTTGTCCCACGGGATTCGAACTCAGGACCTACCAGTCTCGCCCGAGAGAACTTATGTCTAACTTCAAGCAATCCACCAAGTTAAGCAACTGTTCACCAGTTGTCTTCAGTGAGTTCCTATCTCACAACAGACGTCGTTTGAACTCCACTGGTCACTGCTTCTCACTAGAATTCCAGGATTTACCTCTCAAAGTCAGTCACTAGTAAGCAGATGATTATTATTATCAGAAGAGGTTTTGTGGAGATTTAGTGTTTTTAAATTTGTTTAGGCTAATTGTTGTGTTTGCCGATTTTATTCTGACTTATTAGCTAACCGATAAGTATACTCCTACACACTCAAACACTCAGTCATGTACATGAAGACACCACCAAGAATTAACTTGTTCAATTAATAATTAAAACAAACATATTTACCTCATCACTTTCCCTTGTATTTGTTCTTTTAACGATAATTCCCCATTTGTATTCATATTAGTATTGGTATTATTTATTTCCATTTGTAAATAATAATAATAATAATTTTGACTTATTTATTCATTAAAAATGTTTTCTTATTTTCTAATTGAGATGATGTTGACAGTTATGGATATTGTCAAATTATAGTGATATTATTCTGATTACTTTCCTTCTTTTGTTTTGCTTATAGAAGATGAATTCAAACAAGAAAATTGGTATCATTCAATTTCAAAATGAAATCTCATAAATGATCGTCAGTATTTTATTAATCTATAAAATATTACTATGACTATTGTTAATACTATGAAATCATTTAATCATCAATATTAAATGTTCCGAAAGAATATTTTCAAAAAAAAAGGAGAAGTACTACTGAATAAAATAAAGTGAAATACTCCTCTTTTTTTCTAAAAAAAAAGCAAACAAAAATGAATTACTTCATGCTCAAAGAGAAAAAGCAAACAAACAAACAGGATTTTCATTTTCATTTTGATAGATTGGTTAATATTCTGCGAACCAATAGAGGAAAATTCCTAAACTCAACCAGTTAAATCATTGAAAGGCAGAAGAAGAAGAAGAATAAGTCTAAGAATTATCTCATATACTTATCGATATACTTAAGTGAATAAAACTCATTATATATATATTTTCTTACCATTGAATGCTTAGTGAGTTAGTCATTTAAAATATGTATAGATATATATGCATCTGAAAGAGATTGAGTAGGCGTTATCTCATCTATTGTATATATATATATATATATACATATATATATTTATATACATATTTAAGGTTATATGTTACTGATTAAATAATCAGTAATACCAATAATATTTCCCCTATGTATTGAGATCATCTCAAATGAATTAATTCATTAATAATTCGAATATTTCAACAAAACTAAGATTGTAATGGTTATTTATGTTTGTTTGTTTTTGTTTTCAAAATACTCCTATTGATAATGATAGTCATGATTTATCAATACTAAAATGAATTAATCCTTTTTATTTCGACAATCTACTTTGAAAATCATGATTGTAATCTGATTATCTTGAAATACATTTAATTATTAAATTTTACATTGATAAAATTATGTTAGAATAATGTTATTAATGAGACTGTGGTGGTTGATATTCGATATTATCCCTAAACTTCTGATATCGTTCGTCCTGATAACCGTTACTAGATAACGTCCTAACGGGGTATAAATCAGAAAGCAAATACGAAGGGTTGATTGCGTATATTATTGAACCACACATAGATATCCAAATTTACAGTTACGTTAAGCAGACATGAAAGAGTAGTGCCGTAAAGCAGGCGAGTGAGCGTAAGAGTCGAATGAGTGAGTAATCAATCGATCAAGTAAGCGAGTACAGTACAGTTCAGTGAATAGGATTAAGATGTACATATATATACAAATGGAAATGCATGAATCATCGAATCAACTAAGTGAATAATAGTTAGGCTAGCAGAATGAATACATGCGTAGTCAGTAAGCAATGCTCAAGCGTAAATATTAAAGGTACAATAGTGTAGATAGGTTGTCGTAGTACGGATGACTGTCCGTTAAATAAGTTAACAAAAGAGCTTAGCCAAATTAGATGCAAACAAACTCAATTGTATGTGAGCTGCTATAAAACGATAAATTTAATATAATTATGAAATTGGCTAGAATGATTATTTTTTTCCAGTTAGCGTTTTTTAGCAAGTTAGTTTTCTACGGGATAGGGTCACTAACGCCACACCCAACCCTCCTCCTTTATCCGGGTTTGGGACCAGCAGTAGCCCCCGGAGGAGCTACAGAAGGAGTTAGAATGATTGTTTACTTATAAAAACAATTTGTAAATTCTAATTGAAAAGTTCTCCACCATCTCGAAAAGTTCTCAAGAAACTAAATCAATCAAGAAGATAACATAGTTGAGTTACTTAACAGATTATGAATAATTGATCTAACATAAAAAAAGACAAAGTTTATCATATAAATCAATGAGTTAACAGTTCAACCTGTCATATTGTTTAGTAAAATAGAATAATAAACAAAATCTCTTAGTTAAACTGATATCCTTCACACTATAGAATTAGTTGTCTACCAGTGAATCGTCTGGTTTTATTCTCGATTTCTAACAGTCATATGAATATTCTTTGAGAATAAAGTTATGTATTAGCCTTAAGGTATGAAATAGTGAGAACTTTCTTCTGGTAATTTATAAACGTTTTTTAACCAATAAATTTATGTCAAACTCTATTGTATTTAGATTTACTATTGCTTTAACAATTATTCAATATGTACAGATTATTAATAATATTTATACGAATTTGACAGTTTTTTAAATCTGACAGTAGTGAATAAAATTTAGGTACCAATTTATATCTTGTTGTGTTTCTTTCGCTTTCGCCGTTATACAACATTGTTTCAAATTCAATTCATAATATAATTACGATAACATAATGTGATGGTGTACAAAGTTAGAATGTGGATACAATAAAAGATCTGCTTTTCATGGATATATTGCTACTTATAATGACATAGTTATTATTTAGTAATACATATGTTTTCCTCGGTGGTCTAGCTTCAATTGACTCATGCTTTCAACTATGAAACATATCAAATCTCCACAAAACCCCTTCCAATAATACATATGTGTTAGAACAGTAAGAATAAGTTGTTAGTTATGAACTTAATGGACTAGATAGAAATGATACCAATGTTATTTGGAATACTCATTTTATAAAATAATGAGTGTTCATATGTAAACCAAATATTGTTATATCTCGAACTTAGATTTTTATTATGCCGAATAATACTTGAGCACTTGAACGCTAGAACCCTCCCGAGTCGAAAAATGAAAAGACATAAGACTAGTAAGTAGGAATGTTATTCCAAACAGTGTCAAATATAATCAGAGATGGATAGTGGCTAGCAGTGGAATCCAGGACGCGCGTTTCGTCCTATTTGGGACTCGTCAGCTGGATATACCTGCATCTCAGAGTTGATGTTCACTCTGGGACGAGTCCCAAATAGGACGAAACGCGCGTCCCGGATTCCACTGCTAGCCACTATCCATCTCTGCTTACCATGCTTGTGAATTAAGGTATATCGAGGCAATACGCACAGTGTGCACATATGCCAATTAGAGACTGACCAGTTGCAGTCCTAAACACACCGATGGGAAGATCCAAACAAACAATACTAAGTGAGTGTCAAATATAGTACTAAAATCTCATGTATTTATAGTTTTTTGGCTTAAAGTAAATCATCATTTCGGAAAGCCGATAGGCACATAGGGGGGCCTTCTTATTCATCCAATAGGGGAGCTACACATCGACCTTTTAGAATGTTCCCCTAGCGATGATTAGATGGAATGTCTTCGGCTCTTTCTGGGCTTCTTGAGTTTGCCAAACGAGCCATCTTTACAAATGTGAAGCAATAGAAATAAACAAGTCCGTCTTTTATCCTTTTTATGACATGCTAAAACATTGGATTAGTTGACAAAGAGAAATGTCGATAATTCACCCTGATTGTTCTAAACATCCTTTGGATAATATACTGCTTCTGAATGTCATGTAATTCTACTTATTTTTCGCACATTTAGTGGTGATCACTGAGGTTTAGAAAAAATCGATATGACATTCGCTCTCAGGCCTATAAACAACATGAATGTTTAGATTTTTAAATATGGGAATAGATTTCGTTATGCGTACCAGTCGTTCACATGTTTTTGGTTGAGAATTAATTTTATTATTAGTAAATACGGGTTGAATTCTGCTTTAGGTTAAATAAATCGCCTTATAGAAAAAAAGTCATCTTAATTTCATTGGCCAGCAATTAGTACACTAATTAGTAGGGTGTTTTTTAGGTGTTAGTCAATCTTTTTGGTCGGAATCTCACATTTAGATAATAAAACCTCGATTAAAATAAACAATATGATTAGATTATCTAGAATAGTAGAATTAACTGATTGTTATTCTGAACGAAATTTGTGATGAAAGAGAAATCAGTTGTTCAGCATAGCCAATATCGAATTATTTTATAATGATAATTTTTAAGAAATATATGTGGAAAGTATGCTTACACTTTAGTTTACATCACAAGTTGACGGTAGTTAAACAACTAATACAAACGCACAAATAGTAGACAGCTATATTGTCCTCTTAAAGGCCTACTCAGTAGCGCATAATACCGACCGTCTCAGATATCAAACCAAGGGCTTTCAGGCTTGATGGTTAGAGCTTATCCTTTTAAACTATTGGGTTGGCATCCAATGGTTAACATTTCTGACTTCAATCAGTTTGTTTTATTACGTGGCCATTAGTGAGTAACTGTTTCATGCTCGACCTGGTTGAACTCTGCCAGTCACAACATCCCACTAGAATACTAAATTAATCACCAGTGAGCATATGATAATGTAAACTATAATATCCAACAATCTCCACAAATTTGGTGCACTATTACTAATTTTTTAAAGAAAAGACTGATTCAAGATTTCTTACCTTACTCTATTTCTTTCTTCTGTAAATTAAAGTATTTTTATTCTTTAAAAAATAATTCAAAAGGGAAGAACACCAAGTTAATATACAGTTGTTAAAACATTAACAATTTTACTTTAACTAACAATATTACTGAAAATAATCAATATCTCAATACGACACTGAGAACTGGAGGTGAGGAAAAATAGGTGTATATATATATGTATACCATTCTGAATTTAACTATTCAACCTAATCGTTCTCAGTTGAATAGCTTTTGTTCCAATGTTAATTACAAATAAAAATATTTTCTCTCTTTTACAGATGTGTATATATACATTGGAGATTTATCACTTTTAAATTATTTTGGTAATCAATTTAGTCAACCATGAATAACATGAAAGTTTTCAGCTGCCTAGATTCAAATTATACTATGTGACTCATTTGTTATTTATATAATGCTAGTTTAAATAAAAACTGATGAATGTTACTCGTAGAATGTTGTAAACATTTCCATTGTATTCACTTAGTATTACTTGTTTGAATCTTCCCATTGATGTTTAAAACTGCAACTTGTTTGTCTTTATGTTATCCATTGTATATTAGATCTAGTAATTTAATTTTACAAAAAATATTTCTTATTTGACACTCTATTAATATTTTCACAGTTTAAATCATGAGTCAATTGAAGCCAGTGGAGTTCTACCAGGTCTGTTGTAGAGATATCATCTCACTGAAGACAACTGGTGAACGGTCGCTCAAAATCGTGGATTGGTTGAAGTTAGAAATTAACACCGTTGGATGCCGGCTCAGTGGTCTATCGGTTAAGGGCTTCGGCTCGAGACTGGTAGGTCCTGGGTTCGAATCTCGCGAGTGCGGGATCGTGGATGCGCACTGTTGAGGAGGCCCATAATAGGACGAAATGGCCGTCCAGTGCTTCCAGGTTTTCGATGGTGGTCTAGCTTCAATTGACTCATGATTTCAACTGCGAAAATACTAAATTTTCCACAAAACCCCCTCTACTCTATTAATAACTTGATATTTCTATAGCTACTTATTTAAATAGACAAAATCAGTCGATTATCTTTCTCATTTGTCTTGATAAACTCTAAATTTCTTGTGAACAGATTTTTCTTATTTTATCGATAATGATCATTGTAAAATTTACAGTGAATGTTTATTTACTCCTTAACTGTAAGTACAGATGATGTTAAATAATACAATATATATAGGCGATTTTTTCGTTGATAAAATGT